AAGTCAGGGTTCATTTGATCCGCTTTATATTGACCGATCTTAATTAAAACAGGCATGCTTATTCTTTGGTCCGATCCCCTTCTCCATGCAAAATTTGACGATGTTCGGGCCATTATTGCGGCCTCTGGAGCGACCAGGAAAACCGACAAAAATTTAGTATTTGATCCATTTCATCCCCTAAATATTAACCGATCTTTCCCAAAAACAATAGGGGTCTTCATTTAAATTAAACTTGGCATATATAAATCTAGACCTAATTCAGTACGCTGTGCAATATTTTGTTTGGATAGGACAAATTTTGGGAGTTTGCACCATTTACATAAAACAGGACGAATCTATATTTAGGAGCTATATCTAAATCTGAACCAATTTCAACAAAACTTCACAGTCATCAAACCTGACCCAATTCAGTACGCTGTACAATGTTGTGTCTCAATCGGACAAATATTGGGAGTTTGGTGCACGATTTATATAAAACCGGACAAGGCTATATATGGGAGCTATATCTAAATCTGAACCGATATCCACAAAACTTCGAATACATCATTATGGACCTATTTCAGTACACAATTTTGTTGCAATCGGACAAATATTGGGAGTTTGGTGCAACATTTACCAAAAATCAGACGAAACTATATATGGGAGGTTCATCTAAATCTGAATCGTTTTCCACAAAACTTGGTATACATCACTATGGATATAATTCACGCTTTACACAATTTTGTTTCAATCGGACAAATATTGGGAGTTTGGTGCACTATTCATATAAAATCGGACGAAAATATATATGAGAGCTATATCTCTGATTCTATGCATATCCTCAAAAGGTACCATGGGTCTATATCGATTCCTTTTGCCTGTGACATAGCCATTAACCATTTTCTTTTAATTTTTTAAGAACTTCCCATTATTTGTTGTTCTACGGCAAGGTCCTCATTTTGAATTTTCACCAAAAATGTCCAACAGAAAGAAATTTGCTATATTGTATGAAATTACTACGGTAAAACGTTTAGTTTTTTTCCACAACAATGTTATATTCAATTTTCTATTTCCGTTTTGGCTTTTTTCACTCAAACATAATATTCAATTTCCTTGAAAGGAACCCCTACTCCTATTGGGGTACTAAAGAAACCATGAAAAGTCATAAGATGAGGAACGAAGAAAAAAACAACAACAAAAAAATAACAAGAAGCCAGCAAGCGATGGAAAAAAGAAAAACCGGGCCACCCATCAACCTTTAAGTAAATGGCTATATTAATTTTAATGCTAAAAGCTATTTAATTATAAAACATGTAGCCATACCACGCAACCGAACAACCAACCCTCCGTACACACAAATTTTGCCGACCAAATGGTATTGCTAACCTAAGTAGGCGACCACCACCACCACCACAGTGACGACCAAACAATAAACATAGAAATAAATACAGCTTCACTACAGCAACAGCGGCACGGCCTGGAGAAGCAAAATTAAAATGAAACATGAAAGAATGGAAAATTAAATTTAATATGGTTGTAAATAGGACAAGAAAACACAACAAAATAACAACAACAAGACATGAAACTGCCAGCTAAAGTAAGGGAGAAAAAATCAATTAATTGCTTTCCACTGTTACCACAAAGATCCCTAACAGAAAAAAAATGTTTATATATTTTTTCATTTAAACTTAAATATTGTTTTTTTTTTGTATTCTTGAACAACAAAGTTGCATTCAAGCGTTGAAAGTGAAGTTGGCTATGTGTGTGTGTGTGTGAGTGAGAATTGTATTGGGTTATTACTTTGCATATCCATGCTGGGCCCATAATTCTTCATTAGCCTAGTGCCTTAAATCCTGGCCCATAATCATAGCCCATATATATATACAGACAGACACATACATACCAACACATAAAAGTTTACATGGCCGTTGATTGTAAATATGTGGAGTACAAAATGGCACAGGGTATCTGCTGGTGTATAACGCATGCATATGTTTGTGTGTGTGTGTGTTGTTATTCTTTTATTGTTAGTATTGTTATGTGCATGTAGTTAAAAGCTAACCTTGCAGTGTGAATTACAAAACCATATACAGATACATATGATGTTATTGTCTCGTACACACATATACACACTCAGGGTTACATATTTATACATTTATGCATATTTGCGTGTTGTCTGTTGCTCTACATTTTCTCTTTAAGCCATGAGTTTCATTTATACTCATCAGCACGCAGATATACCCGAGCATACACAAACACACGTACACATAGTTTACCAAGAATCAGTAGCAACACACATTTATATGGTCATATAAAGCTACGTGTGCTGGTTTTAACAACAACAACAAGCAAAAAAATTATTTGGTTCATTTGTTATCCTTGCTCTGCTGCTACTGATGAGAATGTATGTGTTCATTTGTTATTGTTGTTGTTTTTTTGTTCACATTGTTATATATGCGGAGGTATGCCCTATCATGACAACAAAACATATCTGCAAGCAACAATATGGCAATTTCAGTATTTTTTTGTTTATTATAGCCCCCCATACAAAGTCAGTGGAATGTTTTTTTATGGATATTAGAGTGGTGGACAAATATTTTCTATAGAATCAGGATTGAAAAATGGGTTCTTTGCACTTCTATGATATAAGAATAAAGACAGGCCTTTAAAGTTATTGATATAGGATTGTCCAAATAAACTATATTTTTGATCAGAATAAAATTCTATGTCGATTTTACATGCCTGTTTAAATCAGTATGCAAATTGGAAATTTATTTAAGCAAAGACTTTGAAATCTTACCTCTTGAAAGAAAAGTCCTCCGCCTAGTTTTTAATTAAAATCTCGTTACTCGACTCTAACACCAATCTATTTGTCCATGGCGCCCAACATAAAACTAAAATGTTTTATCTTTTAAAGAATGCATCGATAATTTTTCTTCGATTTTTGTATTCATGTTAAAGTCATAAACTTTAGTATATTTCGTTAAGCTTTGCTGAAAGCCTCATACACACAATAACTTATAAAATAATAATAAAAAAACAACGATACAATCCAGGCACCTACACAGGAGCTATAACAAAAGACTAACTGGAAACAATAACAAAATGGAATTCAACAGAGAAAATGCAATAAATATCACACACACACATACAAATACATAGTCATATATAGGTATGTGTGCATGTTGTACAATACGTGTCATAAAACTTATAATTATAATATCCAGTACTAGTTCTTAATTTGTTGTTGTTGTTGAGGTCCGTAAACATGAAAGACACCCGTTCGTAGGTGATGCCAAAGATAATGGACTTTACAAATGCTAAAATACACGACGTTTTTTTATATAATTTAAAATTGTTTCTTTTTTGATGGTAGACCGAACGAAAAGTGTATGAAATAAAATAAGATTTAAAAATTAGAATAGCACTTATTGTCATGAATGTATGCAAATGACCGACTAGCCTGAAAATAAAATAAAACTTGGAGAAAGTAATTGTTTTTAGATTTGATTGTCGAATTTTAAACTCCAGAAACCTTTAGTGGTAACTTTTTTCTACGAATAAAAATTATTGCAGTCCTTTACTGGCACCATTGAGGCTCAAATTTTTCTGTAGGAAAAGTTTAGATACTTTTGTGGCATATTTTTTTTAGAAATACATAGCTACATCGATTTGTAGCTATAAGAAAAACCGTATACGCATCTGGGTCATTTTTTTTCTAACAAAATTCATATTTTAAATTCGTACACACTTATGTGTCACTGTTTCCGATAAAAAAATCGCTGGCTTTCCCGAGTCCTATAAAAAAAATCGATGAACCTTCTAGGTACTTTTTGTGGGTATATTTTCATTGAGAGGTTCTTGTGGTTTTTTTTATATGTAGAAAAAATTCTGAGGCCCTTGTGGTTAATGTTTTTCTGTAGAAAAAAAATTTTTTGAACTTTCTGGGCATATATATTTTTTTTAGAAAAATTCGGGGAACCTTGTTCTATACAAAAAAATCGTATACTTTCATGGGTAATTTTTTTCTATAGAAATGAATTCGTAAATCACCCTTGGTATTTTTTTTCGGTAGAAAAAAATTCGTACACACTTGTATATATTTCTGATTCATTTTTTTCATTGGACCTTCTGGGTATTTTTTGTGGGACATTTTTCATTCGAGACGCATGTGGTTCTTTTTATATGTATAAAAACAACTTTAAGACCCTTGTGGTTAATATTTTTCTATAAAATAATTATTTGATCTTTCTGGGTATATTAGGCAAATTTTTAAGAAATAAATCCGGAAACCGTGTAGGTCGACTTGATTCTATACGAAAAAAAATCATATACCCTTCTGGGTCATCTTTTATATAGAAAAGTTTTCGTCAAAAGTCCAGGGTATTTTTTCGGTTGAAAACAATTTCTTACATCGATGAAACTTCTGGCTACTTTTTGTGGGCCATTTTGTTCATTCAGAGACCCTTGTGTTTCTATTAATCTGTAAAAAATTCTGAGACCGTTGTAGTTAATATTTTTCTATAGACTTTTGATTGATTTTTCTATGCCATTTTTTTCCATACATAAACTCGTAAATCATTCTGGGTCATTTTTTTTCTATAGAACCAATTCGTAAACCATTCTGAGCCATTTTTGTAAACCTTTCTGATTAATTTTTTTGTATAGAAACAAAATCGTAAACCCTTCTATGTAATTTTGTCCTATAGAAACAATTTCGTAGACCCTTCTGTCATTTTTTTAATAAAAAAATCGGCGATCTTTGTGGCTCATTTTTTATGGAAAAAAAATCCTTCTGGGTCTTTATATATATTGAAAAAAAATCGTAGAACCTTTTGGCTGCATATATAAAAAAAACAGATAGTAATTTTTCATAGAAAAAATCAGAAAAAATTCGGGGACACTTTTGAATTTTTTTTAATCTGAGTAATTTTCTAACGCAGTACATTTCAATACCTAATGTTTTCCCCGTTACATTATTTCGATTTCAAATAATTCAATTTTTTTTTTATTTTTTTCAGGTTCGATGTTTTGGTTAATGGTGGTGGTGCTGTTACCCTGCAATTCCAACGTTCACCATTCCGTCCATTAACACGTACCGTGTTTGTACCATGGAATCGTATTGTGGTTTTGCCACCAGTACAAATGCAGCTTAGCGATGAAGATGATAGTGCCAATAGAAATATTAAGTAAGCTATAATTTATCTTCTCTACAATTATAATTTTCTATTTTTCTTCATTAAAAATGACGAAAACAAAACAAAATACTAATTAATCTAAATCACATTTTTCCCGCCTCCCGCTTTCCTACAGAGTGGCACCCTTAAATCCAGCCTTGACCTTCCTTAATTCCATATTATATCATTTCTCGGATGAGCCAACCACAGATGCCCATAAACTGTGCATGGAACATGATCACGAAGAATTGAAACCACAATTGATAAGTACATGGATGCCAAATGGCATTGGAGCTATGCCGGGTAAACGTGTCATATTTGCCGAAACCCAGGTGAGTAGTTTTGTAAAAAGTAATTAATTTAAATATGAAACATTTGCCTAATTACCTTCATTTGGATGGGATGGGGGTGGGGGGAATGACATTTTATAATAGTTTGCAATTAGAGTCGAGAGCATAATTAAGGAACACTTGTCGGTTGGGTCACGTTTTGGCAATGAAATGACTGAGAAGAAGAAGAAAAATTAACAAAAGGATCTAAGCAGTGGGGGTTATTTGTGGATTCAGATATAACCATACCTTGGGGTATTTTTAATAAATCTTTTTTTTTCATGTTGGCCTTGTGTTTTGTTGGAGTACAATTTTTATGTATTGGAGCAGAGAAAGTGTTACCGGAAAAGCAAGGGTGAGCAGCAGCAGCAGAAGCATGGTGGCAATAAGTTTTATGCTAAACTAAAACATTCGTGTCCAACGTTGCTCTGAAAGTTTTAAGGTTTAACCCAGCTAAAGCCCATGGTGTTGTTGGCATATTTATTGCTATTGTTGTAAATCGTGCCCATTACCTTGTGACCTCAAGTACCGAAACACCCTTGCCAAACACCACCACACCTTGTTGTTGTTGGTTGGCTGGCTAGCTTTTTTTGTGTTGCCATTGTAAACGTTAAATGCCTTAAGCTTCCTGTGCTTGCATTTTATTATGTCCTTTTTGTAGTTTTCCATCGTTTCATTGTCCCATCCCTGCTGCTGCTGTTAATGCCATTAAATATTTTGCATTATTTATGCTAAAACTGTAACTCATGCAGGTACGACGTGTTGTTTTCAAAGCTTCTGTTCTTATTTCTCTCTTTTTTTGAGATTTTTTGTTGTGTTTCTTTTGGAGCTTTACTACTCACATTACCTTGGCTGACACCATCTGCAGCTTTGACTGGGTTTTAATTAAATTACTATTTGCCTTATAGTTCAATTTAAGATTCTGTTGTTGGTGTTGTTGTCATGTGAGCCAACAAATGCACACACACACACACCAGGAGCTTTGAGCAGAGCAAAGCTGGGGGATCAGTGCTTATATAAACAGATCTTTACTTTCATTAAATAGAAATTACAGTCTTGGGAACTATTGACCTACACTTCAAAGTAAAATCCTTAAGACTCTGTGTGTATGTGTTTGTGTAAAGTGCATTGTAGAAAAACTTAAGAAGGATAAATGAAAACAGAAGGTTCATTAGGGCACAAAATCCAATGCAGAGTGGCAAAAGTTTAATTAAAAAAAGCCAATGCTGAGTAGAAATAGTTTCATTTAAAATCTTAAAAAATTTGGGAAAATTGAAATCGCGGGAAGGAATTGAAATAAAATACAAAATAAATTAAAATTTAATATTTCCCAAAATTTTTAATCATATTTTAAAAAGTACATATTTTATTTGTTAAATTTAAATCGTAAATATTTTTGTTTTGCTCCACCTTCCCCCACAGATTGTACAAGAATCGATACAAATACCTGGTTCCGATTTACACTTAACATATCAATCATCACAGGCATCGGGCTATTTGAGTATAGTTCGTATGCGTTTGACATCAGAGAAGATACCGAAAACGCTGACCCATGTCCATGTTGGTGTGGAAATTGAAGGTTCTTTACATATCAAAACGTACGAAGCTGACCCGAACTTGATACACACTTTTGCTTGGAATAAACGTAACGTTTATCGACAAAAGGTATATGGCGTTACAATTGCACGCATATCTGTTGGTTATCAACATTCTACATGTGATACCCCGGTATGGATTACCCAAACTGCCAAGTTGCAAGGTTATGATGTAGATATATCCGATATTGGTGGTTGGGGTTTGGATATTCATCATCATTATAATTTCCATGAGGGTATTTTGCAAAAAGGTGATGGTAGCACTTTGCATATGAAGGAATATCCACGTACGGTGAAGGTGGTTATGGGTACCGGATTGCAGAGGCCTCTAAATTGCCCCGATCATTGTAATGGCATTGCCAAGGATGCTAAATTGTTAACACCCATTGCCTTGGCTTCCGGTCCGGATGGCAGTCTTTATGTGGGTGACTTTAATTTGGTACGACGCATTACACCCGATGGCAAGGTGTATACCATACTACAATTGAGTGCCACCCAAGTGTCATATCAATATTATTTGGCCGTCTCGCCAGCTGATGGTCATTTGTATATCTCCGATCCAGAGAGGCATCAAATTTTACGATTATTGCGTTTGGAGAAGGTCAAGGATCCGGCCATTAACAGTGAACCTGTTGTGGGTTCAGGACAACGTTGCATACCCGGTGATGAGGGTAATTGTGGTGATGGTGGTCCAGCTTTACAGGCCAGGCTGTCACATCCCAAAGGTTTGGCCATTGCTGCCGATCGTACAATGTACATTGCTGATGGTACAAATATTCGTGCGGTGGATCCCAAAGGTATTATACACACATTGATTGGTCACCATGGCCATCACAATCACTGGAGTCCAGCACCATGTACCGGTACCCTAATGGCTAATCAAGCACAATTACAATGGCCCACCGGTTTGGCTTTAAGTCCATTGGATGGTTCTCTACACTTCATTGATGATCGTTTGGTATTGCGTTTAACTTCGGATATGAAAATACGTGTGGTGGCCGGTACACCACTGCATTGTAATAATAATGGACAGGATAAATCGAATAAGACGGCTGATAATGTTTTGGGTACAGTGTTGGCTATGGCTTTCTCTCCCTTCGGTGATCTTTATATTGCCGATAGTGATTCAAGGCGAGTTAATTCCATACGTGTTGTTGATACTTCAGGAAATATGCGCTATTTTGCTGGCAAACAAGAGAATTCAGGGTGAGTACGAATTGGGTTTTATTATTATATGTAATTAAAAATTATATAAATGAGATAAATTAATTTTAAATGTAAACGTAAAAACCGCTGTTATATATAAGAATTGAATAATTTTAGACAATATATGTTGGCAGAAGAACATTAGCATAATTTTGGGCATAGTTCTTTAAATATTCATATTCATAGAAAATTAATTATAATTCAGTGAAGGTGTATGGAAAATAAAATATGAAAGATATGTACTATACTAAAAGTATGCACCATATTCTAGCTAAACAATTAAAAAATAAAATTTCTTTATATTTCCTTACGAATCCCAGGATTGCATAATTTTAGGCAACGTAAGTTGGCAGAAGAACCCTAGCACATATTTGGGCATAGTTATGTTTAATATTATATCAATCGAAAATGAGCAATAGTTCAGTGAAAGTGTATGGAAAATCAATTGTGAAAGATATGTACCACCCTAAAAGTATGCACCATATTCTAGCTAAACAATTAAAAAATAAAATATCTGTCATTTCGTATCCACCTTCAAAGGGGTTCTTTAATTTAAAGGCCGTTCTTTTTTAATTTTTACTAACCCTCATTTAAAAGTAACTCCTAAAAGTATGCCACACTTTTTTCAATTAAACAAATTATTTAAAATTCCCTCATTATTAAAATAAATTCTGTTTTACTTTTATTTTAAATTTTATGATGTATTTAAATATTTTATACTTCCGCAAGCACTTTTTTGGGAACTCATTCCATTTTTTCACTGTTTGGCAATTAAATTATTTGTAAAGTGCCACATTTCACTCAGGTCGCTCACACACACACAAAGAGAGAGACACCCATTCACAACGATTTTCATGTCAATGTCCTAGCGCAAAAGTTAACAACTCATTTTCTTCCTTGTTTTTGTCTCCCCTCTCCTTTCATATTCATCCTCTTCCCTGGACTCCTACAAGCCATGTGGCATCAAACAATTTTTTTTGGGGCTGTTGTACTCTCTAAGTGTTTTTATCAGCGCAATTTTTTTTCTGTTTGTTCAGCAACAGAAACAACGTCAGCTGTAGTTGTAAATCGTTGCTGCACAAGCAGGCGGGCAGACAATCAGCCAACCAGCCGGCAAAACTTGATGTCTCCAATGTAATTTTTCGTTGTTCGTTCGTTTGTTTTTTTTTCGATGGGAAATATGCCTCAAAGCGACTACAACATAATCATCCAAAATCATCAACTTTTTTTTTGCCATGATGTGTTTTTTTCGGCTGGTGCTGTCCTAGACAGACTTGTTCCAACACTTCATCTGCTAAAAATGTTATATCTTGTAGTCGTACATATCATAACGCCATGCCTTGTTTTACCTCAAAATAGTGGCGGGTTATAAATGTCCCCGAGTTTGGTAAGGAGTATGAAAAATATGAAATACATCATCTGTTGTCTACTGCTCAGATCACTAGCAGGGTTGATAGTTGGCAACATTGTCATATAATTCTTTCCCTATTTCTTTTTTTGGTGACACATCCATTTGAACCAAAAAAAGTGTTTAATTTTTTGTTTCTTTTTCCTCTTATTTTGTAGGTGTTTGTATGTGAGTGTCGAGGATTTTTTTTGTTATCTAAACATAGTTTAACTGTCTGTTTGCATTCTAGACAAATGTTTTAGTCTATCCGGCTTTTGCTCTTTCGTTCCCAATTTCCATTTTTTTTTTGGCTTTTCATTTTATCTGATTTTTTTTTTGTTTTGCAATGAACATAGATTTTAACGCCTGAATGGAACAGCTAACAAAATAGCAGAATAGGAAACAAAACAGTACAGAGATAAACAAAAATGTGATATTTTTAATCTGTCGCTTGATGTTTGCCAAGTTATTAATTTTTTCGGCCTCACTCTTTTCCATTGTCCGCCGCTTGATACTGACAACATTTTTCCAAATGGAGTTTTATGGAAATACAGTAAATTAAGATTGGTAATTTAAATAATTTTGTTTAAAGATTCAGGAATACTATTTCAGCGTTTACCAAAATATGGTACATACTTTTAGGGGAGTAAACATTTTAAATGAAATATAAGTATGATAAATTTTTTTTGCAATTTGAATGTTATGGAAATACAATGAATTAAATTTGACAATTTAAATATGCTTATTAAATATTCATAGTCACTTTTAAATCATTTGACAAAATATGGTGCATACTTTTAGGGGGGAAATAATTAACATACGTTTAGACTTTCAAAAATTAATTAACTTCTTTAATTTATAATGATATCAATTATTTAAAAAACCAGTTAAGGGGATTTAATTCGAATCTACACTAATTCTAGAATGTCCCAACAAAATTTTAAGTGAAAATCTAAAGAACTCTTGAAGATATAGCCGATTTATTGTGTCAGCATCAAGTGACGGCTAAAGGGCTTCTCAAACTTTAAACGCGTTTTTCTCTTTTGCGAATGGCGGGCACGATAACTCAATAACTAATAACCCAATCGATTCCAAATTTTTACATGTTTCTCTGGGAGTGTATACCTCTCGTATGAACTAGGCTAAAGCCAATCGGTGAAGATCTTCCTTCTTTTTTAACATGGTTTTTATTTTCCAAAAATATTTTTTCAAAGGTCCGCCATTTTGTTAATTTTAGAGCGAAGTCAATTATACTAGTTCATACGAGAGCCAGACATGTACTCTTTCTAACACCGTTGGAATTTTCGGATTCCGATGTTCCAGTGAGGAGTTATCATGCCCGCCATGCCCCCATTATAAATACTTCTGAATTTATTGCATATGTTGGGGGGTTTAAAATTGTGTTATTTTTCTTATATTACATTTTATCTTAAATTTTCCATTAAATTATTTAGTTGATAGTTCTTCCCATTTTTCTGCTATTAAAGTACCATTTTTGCATACTATTGGGAGTTGTATATAGTATTCGGATTAAAAAAGTATTGCATACTTTTAGGTTATACCTATGTTAAATTATGTATGAATGTTAAAGTTCCATAATATGATTCCAAATAATGCATGCTTTTAGATTTTTATATTTTTTTATATTTTTATATTTTCGAAAGAAAAGAAAATGGTGCATATTTCTAGGTCTTTTATAAAGATATTAGAAATAAACTTATGGGGATAATTAATTTATTTATATATAATGTATTTTTTCATTGCATATTTTTGTGTATTTTTGAAAATAATGTTATATTTTTTCACAGATAATATTTTTAAGTTAAAAAGTTTTTTTTTTTTTTTTTTTTTTGTCCCACTGTCCCTTCTAATTACTTTTCCACTAGCCATTGTTACTTTCCAACATGCCATGCAAGCATAAACCCATATTTTTTAAAACTATTTTTGGCACAACAGCAACTTCCATAACCGACTCCTTGACTCCTTTTGCACTTGTTTCTACAATATTTGTCCTCAGCATTCAGTTGTAGTTCCAAAGAACCAAAAAACAATGCATTCCCAAAATGTAGGGAGTAAACTATTTGTTACCTTTTTTGTCATTTTTATCACTTCTTTGTTCGCTTTTTTTCAACTTAACCGCAAATTTTATCTTTTAACAAACAGGTATGCAGACAAATAAAATATTTTCTAAACAAACAGACAAACAAAAAAAAATATGAAACCAAACTGCTAGCAGATAAAACTGTTATACAATTTCCTCTAAATAATGCAACGAATTTATTTTTTTGTTTGTTAAATTTCCGGGAATAAACTGAAATAGTTTAGTTTTGAAAACTTATTTTTAACAGGCGGATATATACGGTTTACGTTTAAAATTCAATTTATTTTAATCTGTCTACACCGTCAGCATACACACATACATATGCATTCATTTATACATACATATTTATTGGTTTTGTTGTAAGTTTTACCGTTTTGACAATATTTTTAACTAATGGCATTTTTCCTACTCTCTTTATATATATACATCAAACGAACGAACGTACGAATGAACGTTTTGTACACGTTTTGATTTTGCAATTTTATAAAACGCACGCACACACACACACCAACACAAACGTACAACAGAGCCTTAACATGTGACTGCACAAATGGTGCTGGCCTGAATGCTTCAACATCCGGCTTTAATTCAAATAACCCTGGTGGCAGCTCCTATTCAACGACCAGCAATCCCACAAATCGTAACAATGGTGGCGCTGGCGGTGGCACCACACCCACTACACCAGCCGGCAGCGGAAACGGAAATGGCGGTTTCAATGGCAATTCAGCGTCTGGTGCGGCTACTGGCAGCGGCAGCAATGGCGGTTGCATTTGTTCGCCTACTTCAGGATTAGCTGGCATTGTGGCTGGTAATCTTATGTCAACTGGTCCCACAACGACTACCACTGTAATGTTGGGTGCTAAAACAACAACATCAGCCGGTGGCCTGGGCGCAATATTAGGTTCACAGGGCACCCTTAGCGATGATGGTACACTGAGTAATGCCGAAACTCTATTGTCATCAAATGCACGTTTCCAGGCGATATCAGCAATAGCGGTTGCCCAGGATGGTGTAATTAATGTGGCCGATCAAGGTAAGTTGTTTTGTATAGCTATGTATGTAGTCGGAGTAGTATTTAGCTAGTTAGTTAGTTAGTTTGTAATCGTATATATGTGTTTCTGGGAGAATTTCGTTACGCAAAAAATCGAGTTAATTAAGAAGGACTTTGAAAGTAATCAGAAAAAAGATGTGATTAAATCCTTATGATTTTTAATTGAATTAAATTAGAATGGAGCAAAATTTTCGGGAATAAAAATTTTGAGTTACATTTATTTGTGGGGAACTGTGAATATTTTGAAAACAAATTTAAAATTGAAAGGTTTCCGATTGAGGGGTTTTTCAAGGAAGTTAAATTTCACTTGACGAGATTTCAAACAGAGCTATTTAAGATAGAAGTTTGAAATTGTTCACATACATTGCTACTGCACCCAGCATGTTTGGTATTGAAAATTAACAAAAGATTGGGCCACTTTTTAGATAAGGTCATAAAAAGGTATTTGTTTAAGGTACCTTTATAATTACTATTTCAGATTTTCATTGGGTAGAAAGTCTTCCTACCAAAAACTAGCAATGTTGGCTATTATACCCTATACAACTATGTTGTCAGGGTATTATAGCCGTGAAATATTTAGCGGGTCAAATGGACCCTTACTTTTGTGTGAAAAATTACAAAATTTGTATTCTATAGCGTATATATTTACCTATAAAGGACATAGAGCCGAGAAGTAGACAGTATATCCACGAGGAGTGGTTGACCTTTAAATTGGTACCAATTATATTATCGTATGTACTCGGATGTGGGAGTTACAGTTAAATATTTACAGGCGCTTATGTATTCATACATTATTTAGTAACCCAATACCACACTGGACTGCGGAAATATAACGCCGTTCCCTTTGAAATTTTCCATGAGGAACCAAGTATGGTCAAGGACAACGTCTATAATTTTAGGGGATGATCAGATAATGATACTGGGATGAAGTGGACCGAAAACTTATTTTTTGTGTATTTTTGAGTCGATAAGCCAAGGGAATCTGGACAAGTACTTAGAAGAGCTGTACCGAATATTAGTAATACTTGTAGACTTCTAGTTGGTCAAGAGGCTGCAAGTATCGCGAAATATTGCCCAAGCTCAGAATATAGAACCACACAAAGTTCGATTTTCGTTGAAGTTGAGTACCGCTCACTGTTTTTTTTTTTTTTTTTTTTTTTGGATCGACCCCATATAGAGTTAGTTATCTTAGCCTTTCATTGTGTGTTAAATCTTGCTATCAAAAATGTCCTACCCATATAAAAATTCCAATCGATTTTTGTGATTTTATATGCCCACCTCATGTTGTAGGATATAACAAGTTCCGCCGTTCGATCTTAACAATGTTTTTAAATGTTGACATTACAAAAAGCCCATACAGCAGAATTTAGTTCCATTCCCAAATCGGTCCTTATTTTTTCAATATTAAATATGAATCCACCAACTCCCTAAAGGTATATGAAAAAGTCTATTATGGTGTCATATTTTTCAGTTTTTTATTTGGCATAAAAAATATCCATTGAAAACCCCCTAAACCTATATTCTGTACAAAAGAAAAACTAAAGACTAAAACTATACTATGATTATTACATTTGATTTTGACAATTATTGTTCGGCAATTGCAATCTGAGTAAAGCGAATAGAAATATCATACTAAAGCAAAACTGACCTAAGGCAAGCAATTTCCTATGAGATTACTTTTCACACTTTTATTTGTCTAAGAATAACAGCTCACAAGAAGGGTATTAAAAGGAGGAAAGGCAAATTTTTTTTCTTATAATTTACATATAACATTTGTTTCACTATATAGCTTTGGGATATTAACTAACTCAAATTAAGGAACAATAAAAAAAAGAATTTAAATATCATCGAAAAAATATGCTTAACTTAAAAAACCAAAGAGAATTGTAATATTGGATGAAGAAAAAATTGTGTCCCTTGTGTAGTTGAAGAACAAGTCATTGTGTAGTTGTAGAAAAAGACCTCCACCAACAAAAAAAAAAAAACACAAAGAAATCACAAGAAACCCACAAAAATATATAGCCTTTAGCCTTGTACAAATAAAAATCCAAGCAAGCAATGATTTGGAAAAAAACAATAATATTCTCATATTATTGGAGCATGAAAACGAATATCGAAAACGATTTCACACACGACATACAAATGCTAGGTTTTTTTTTCTCGAGCAAATATTTCTTTTTCATATATAAAAAGAATGAAAAGAGAGAGGCACAAGGGGCAAAAGAAGGGCCCACAAATCGTTTATGACAATTGTAATGATTATTATTGTACCATTATTATACGAAATACACACTTGAGTTACCATTTGTCCTAAGTCAATTGTGTGGAAGAAGTACCGGCTTGAATGTGTGTGTGCGTGTACAAAGAGAAAACAATAAAACAACACAATTATTAATAATAAAACAAAAGGGGAGATACATTAAATAAAAATAATGTAGCTTTTGTGGTTTGCTTGCCATCATTTATTTAAGTATGTCATTTCATGAATTGTTTTCTTGGTTTTCTCTAAATTTAGATTTGTTGTTTTGCAACTGTGTGCGTCCACCTTTACATCCTGTTGCCTTCAAATGTTTTCCGGCCCTAAGTATGGTTGTTAACATTAACAAAACAAATTTTTATACAAAAAAGCAGAAGGGTTTGTTCCTCACCAGTATTCTATTTTTGTTTTCTTTCTTTTCGCACATCTATGACATTTAGAGTAAATGCTAATATATGCATATGTTAGGAGTTTGCCATGCTTTGTCCTGGCATTTCCATGAAATATGCTACTTTTGCTACAGAGAAGACAGAATCATTAGCTTTTTTGCCACTTTTGGCACAAAGTGCCAATTTACTTTTACTGACAAAATGCTAACGGAAGTCAAATACGAACTTCCGACAGACATGCTCACACTCACACACGACCGTCACTCACATGCAGAGGAAAACAAGTTTGTTTTACCTTCCTGCTACTGCCAGAGTTGTATGGGAAAATTCTATTACCTCTTAGTTTTTGGGAGGGTTAGAAACACAAAGCAGGCAAACAAATATCTATCTGTCTGTCGTTGTGGCACTTCCTCAATATGTTGCAAAATGCTGATTATTACAATTTTTGCCTACGAACACAATATCAAAAGACCATAGAGAGTCATTTTGTTAGATTCCTGTTCTTTCTAGTTTTGTTTTTTTGACGCCATTTTCCCAGGGTGTGAAAAAACCCGGGCCATAGAATCACCATAAATTGTTTAACAAATTTGAGTTGTTTTTTTTTTGTTCCCTGTCACGGCAAAAGAAAGGCAATTTGTGTGATTTGTTCGGTGGCAGCCAATAAGTAGACATTAGTTTTATTACATTTTATAGCTCCCTAAAGTATGCTTATAGCACCAGTCCAAAGCAATTACTATACAACAAGGTATTTAAGGACTTAAATGGAATTTAAGGCATTTTCCAGAAATAATAATATTGGAAAAATGTTTTGCAGTATCTTCATATCTTGAAAAATAATTTCAAAACTGTGAAAAAATGCTACATTAAAAAATTTATAGTTTAATCCCCAAAAGTATGTAAGAAATTGTTATGATCAAAACAAAATGAGACTGTAAGAGAATACAAGTTTCTGAAACTAAATTTCAGTTGATAGGTTTGGTTATTCTGTAGGAAGTATATTTCAAAAAAGCTTCATTCGAAAAAGCTAACATGTATTTTAGTTCCCAAAAAGTATGCAACAATTTGGTTTTGACCAACATAAAAAGGAATTTTAAGGGAATAAACTTTTCTGAAACTAAATTTCAGTTGAGAGGTTCGGTTATTCTGTACGAAAAATATATTTCGTTTATGTTGCCTATATTTGGGGTGATGTCAACTCCAAAAAGTGAGTTCAATAATATATTTCAACTTTTGGTATCATCATTGTGAATTGCGATGCCTACTTTTAGGATCACTGCTAAAATTTTGTGTCTAAAAATATGCTTTAATCGATATTTAACATACCTTTAGACATTCCTACTTTTTGTATATTAAAGGATACTATAATTTGAAATTACGAATTTTTATTGAATAAAAAAAATAAAATAAAAATATTTGAATACTTTATTTTTAAAAATAAAAAAAATATTGCCTAGTTTTTGGATATATATTAAAAAAAAACAAATTATTTTCCAAAAAAAATTTGAATGATAAATAATGAAGTGGCTTGAAAAAATCAGTCGTGTACACATATTTTGGATTGAATTTATAGATTTAATATTAAAATAAATTAATAAATATATACATAGATAGATAAATAATCAAAGGCTACTTTGAGAATTAGAATTCCTATTTTTGGCTCATTTCTAATAAAATTTTCTCTTAGTATTAAAATAAAACACATTTTGCATTGGAAATTAAAAAAAAATATGTTATATATATATTAAACAAATTTAAACTTGCTTTTTTTTTTAAATGAAAATATAATTATTGCCTAGTTTTGGGATATTATATTTTAATTGATTTCCCTTTTTTCAAACACAGTCCAATTATTATTTGTCATGACTACTGAAGCATTTTTAATGCGTTGTAAAGAAATCTGATGTTTAGAAATATTTAGGCTTGATATTAATTGCGGATGTAATAGTTAAATCAAATAGTCACTAATTGATGCCTACTTTAAGGTTCACTTTTCTGAATGAGTGGTGCCTATCTTTAGGATCCCTTCTATGAAATGGTTTTCCTATAATTCATATATAAATATGTGTGTTATAAAAAATCAGTTTTTTATGGAAATGTGTTTTACAGAAATTTCATTTTAAAATACCACCACTAACAATGCCTACGTTGGGCCGAATATAATTATTACTTTTAATGCCTACTTTTAGGAAAATATACTTTGTTTCTCCCACCATATAAATTCCTCAATAATTTATTGAATTATTAAATGAAACACCTTAAAACTAATTATCTTCTTTACTGCTCGTTACTTTGGTGACGTTCGGTAAGGATACCAGAACTCCGAATACTATAACGAC